GGTTTCAAAACTAAATTAATCACTAAATTATATTCAAAAATCAATGTTAAAAGTAATTTTTGGCATGTTTATTCAGGACGTCCCTAAGTTGTTGATTGTAATTTATTTTTCTGGTCTCGTTTTTGCTTCTGTTCTTTGATGGCAGCTTGTATATATACTGGGTTTCTTATTTCCATGGACCTGGGGTGACGGGGATTTACTAATTCTGGTAATATACAATCCACATAAAACCTTTTCAATTTCTCTTCCATCTGGTTTTGCCAAAAATCGTCATCCTTCATGATTTCTTCAATTTGGATTCCATGAGGTGTCCACAGGGCGAAGTAACATTTTTGTCGTTTTGTTATGTGAAGTTGTCCCTGGATCTGATAAAAGAACTTGTGTTTTCTGTTTATTTCTATTTTGTCCTCATTGAAACTTAGGGAAGGGAACTTTTTTGATCTTATTGATTCTTCTGGGGTTAAGTTTTTGCATGACTCTGGACATTTAACCTCAACAATGCTATCATTTCCAATTAGACCGTCAGGACTGGCGCCCAAGGCCCGATTTCACCAAACTTTTAAACCACCGTTAAGCCTTGCTCTAACTGCAGTTAGCTCTTAACTGACGAAATCGGATTTCACCACTTGCCGTTAGCGCTAGTTTGGACTAAACCGTCGTTAGATAATTAACTGCCCAATTTTGACCAGTTAACTTTTTTAATCTTTCGTTAAGTAAATATCAGCTGGCTTTAAGTTTAAAGTTTAAATGGAAAGGCGAAATGGTAGAAGAGAATACAGTACGAATTAGCTTTTGAAAGTAAGTGATGGCAATGAAGAGTAGCCTATGTTGTTCGCCGAACTAGGTGGATAAGAGAAAGGGTTAATGAGGTTAATAAGAAAGATGAAATTGATTTTATTATTAGATATGAACTATCAAAACGTTTAGCCTTTTTCTTTAGGAAATGAATGCAAACCACTGTAGTGGTTTGGTTTGTGTTTAGGCTATCCCACATAGTGCATTGCTTTAGGTTATCCCACATGGTTTTTAGTATCAAGGCGTATATCTGTGATCAGCGACCGCATTGAACTGATTGGCGATCAAGAGCCGTACTCTTTTATCCCGACTAAAAAGAGTGTCCCGGCTCTTCTACCAACATTATCAAATTTATTATTTCATTGTTCGAAAAAATAGGCTCCCTTTCCTTCTCCCGGCTTTGGGTAACCCTAACCCAACGTTCAAACAATTGTTTTGCGTTCGGTCAGACGTAAGTAAACCAAAATCTAAACCTAAATTTTCATTATTCTGCTAGTACTTTATAGAAAATAATTATTTTGGTGTTATCTTTATTGTGTCTCGTTCTTGTAATTCTTTTGACTCCAGTTTTTTTCACTACTTCAAATGTACCAAACTGGTTAGTGAACAAACAGAATATTGAACATCCCTATAAAAAGTTTGATTTTGAGTCTTGTCTCGACCGCAAAACTCAACCAATTTGTTCCTCGAATATGTTTGATCAACATTGCTTTGCCATTTACTTATGTTAATTGTTTTTGTATTTATTCTTGCTTTCTGTTGTTATTTTGCTCAGAATCTATTGTATTCCAGTAAGCTTGCTGTCTCCAGTTTTGTTTTCACAATTTTCTATAGGCCTACCTGTAAATTTTTACCCTTTTTTGGTTTTGATAGATCAGTGCCACAAATGGTAAAAATTAATTTTGTTTGTCTTTTTTGGTAACTGCAATACTCAAGACTGTCGTTTATGCACAGGAAAAAATCCCGCCCCGAACTATAAATTCAATCCTGTCCATCCCGTATTAACATAGTATTAAAATATGCGAATGCGACTATTACTGGGGGGGGGCCGGGGGGGGGGGGGGGGCACCACGACCACATTTGTCCCGGGCGCCGCAAACCCTAGGGACGGCCCTGGCACTCAAAAATAAGTTGCCTTTTTTCGAGACTCTTCCCATAATGCAGAAGAAACACAAGTAGACATTAAAAATACGAAACGACATAAATTGTTTACTGGCGAATGTTAGCAGTAGGATCGCACGATGCAGTAATCAAAGCCGTTGTTAGCAGGACTACTAGCGCTAGATCACTAGATCAGGTGATGTGCAGGTTTAGCCGGTGTAGCCGACGGCCAATGACTGCAGCGGCAGTGATGACTCACTGTTGGGCGTAGGCCTATCCACGCTGTTCCCAGAATTTGACAAAAATGTACGCAATACACTCAACACTCTATATGATCCATGTAACCTCACATCACCATCACGACCCTCGCATGTCCACGATATCCATTGAACGCTGGACCTTAGGCATACGCTGAAATAAAGGACATATCTTGTTGAACAAGGTTTTTAAACATAAATAGGCCTACCCCGCCTCAGTAGACCTGCAGACTAAGTGAATTTCTATTTTCCTGATTGGATTTTCACTTAAATAGGAGTCCTCTGGGGACCTCAAAAAAGTAAATCGGTCCCGGGTCGAGGTCTTACCACAAGACCTAAGAAAATAGCTTCCCTATTTGGAAAATTCACTTAAAAATGACCCCTTGGGGATAAATAAACACCATTTACGTAAACACCATAGTAATTCTCAAATTTTCATTTTTTATTGCACTAGCCATGTACTCGTGCTTTGCTAAGTAAGTTTAGAGTAACTTATTAACAAATTATAATTAACCCTATTATTTAAATTGTTATCCATTACTACTTTGATTTGACTAGGATATGCTGATTTATCTTAGACAATTTTGAGTTGTAACGAAACTAAAATAATCAAAAACGTAACAGACAGATAGACATTCATATTTAATGGTTTTTTCAAGGTTGGTCTTGGTTTCAGCGTTATTTCAAACAATCATATAAAACACAAAAATAAAATAAAATGATAACGAATGTACAGACAACGGTTTTATTTAATTTTCCTCAGTACCTTCCTACATTTGTTTTCTTTCGATTTCTCATTTTAAAAATATTTTCAAAGGACAAAATACCTAGAGAATGAAACGGTAAAATTAATAAGAACCACTCATTTTCATGTTAAGATTGTAGTTACTATCTTCCGTAATGACACAGTAAATAGACTCTATATACGTAAGTGTTATGGTAATGATGATAGTAATAGATTGGACTTTGACAGTAAGTTCTACTACCACAGTGAGCAGAGCGACCTTGCGTAGGTCAGAGAAGCAGATCGAGTTTTATAGGATGGCTAGTAGCGAGTTTACCGGTAGATTCAAGTGACGCTCAGGCTACAAAACATGCGTTCCTATTCTCCTGTTTTGGACACGGTTTTTCACCCATTTTACATGAAATGTTTACCATTGTTTTCAGAAAGGGTTGAATTTTTTTTCTATTAAAAGCAAATTACAACATTTAAACTTTATTACGGTCAAAATCGTTACCAAACTTTAGAAAAATTGACCTATTTTCACATTGTATTAAAAAAAATCTATTTAAAAAACTCTTAATTTAAGGTTATACATGAAAGCAGATACTCTTTGTGAACAAGTTAAGACGTATACCAAAGTTCTAACTTAAAAATTGGCGTCCGAAATGGGGGAAAAGACAACGTATGTTTGTACGTGTTTTTCAGGGGTGAGGATGCCTCTTAATCACCTCAAGATACAAATGTCAGTACAACACGTTACCGTAGTTAATTCAACAACTATGTCATCATTGGCCTGATTGGACAAGTGTTGCTAGAGCCTCATATGACAATAGCATTCACAGGTAAGATTCGCTGAATGCCTTAAGCGCCACTGGTTTAGCAATACAGTTAATATGTAGATTCTGTGACGTCCTAGGTACATAAAACCATGTTGAAAGGTAAAAAAGTAACAAAAATCATTATTTTATAATTATAAGCTATTACAGTAGAGTCTCGCTCATCCGGCTTAATCTGGCATACGTCCGTTCCGGATTGCAAAAAATCCAGACTTTCGAGAGTCGTGCAAATATATGTAAATTTTACTGTTACAGTGAGCGGTTTTGTCAAAACACGCGCTAATACAAACGAGAGCGTCTAAAACAAGTTACAACTCATCGTAAAAAAATACAGTCGGCTGGTTTTATGAACTATATGATTATTGCTACATATTTTGCAAAGAACGCCTTAAGACGCAAAATGAGATTATCCGAGGTCCGATTATACGAGCCGCCGGGTTAACTAAGGCAAATGCAGAACTGTACATAGCCGTTATTTTAATTTTGTTCCAGGTCCACAGTATTGATAGCCGGGTAAATGGAGTTCCACCAATACAGTAGAGTCCCACAAACTCTGTGTAATGTGGACTGAAAGGGTGCCGAGTTTGTGAAATGCAGGGTTATCGGGAACTAGAGTTAAAAATAAGAGCAAAACAATTTTTAAGCGTTTTAACAGCCTTTTTCAATTAGATTTATATTACAAGTCAGTATTAAGTCATCAGATATAGTACAACAAATCCTTAGTACGAGTTGCAAATGATTTTACTTGAGCTGGCTTGTGTCCATGTTTAACTCGGACTCAAAAAATCACAAATTTTTTGAGCCAGGTGATGGCCGAGTTATCCAGACTGCCAGGTTATCCAGTGCCGAGTTTGCGGGACCCTACTGTAATAAATCGATTGTTGGTACGAGTTGGTAGAGAAATATCTTTTTATTTAATCATAATCACTTTAGGCTAATAATAAACCGTATTCTCCAGGTCAATATGATTTTTGTCTAATTATAACCAATAATTTTTACCGCTGTGTTATCCGCGTTTTTGACTATCCAAGGTAGTCTCAGCCCTGTTAAGCTCGGATAATCAGACTTTACTGTGCCACTAAAAAAAAATCATGTTTGCCAATTCAAACTAGCGGGAGTCCAGACAAGGCCAATCCGGATAATCTAAAACTACTAGCTATCTACTGTACTATAAAATTCAACGTATTCTTGTTACCAATACGTTTTAATATTTGTTGGGGTGCAAAGTATCCGCACATTGAATTAATACCGAAGGTCTGGTGACTGTATCTATTGACTGGTTTTCAGAACTGTGCCAAGCTAGACAGAGAGGTGCGCAGTGTGTTGACGGAGATGTTGCCGTTCATCATGTCACAGGCTGGGGAGACATGTGGCCCCGCCTTGTTGGAGAGTGTACGTAAACTGATACTACACCTGGTACACACACCTCCCCCCGCCACTCAGGACCAGCTTGATGCACAACTGGAGGACGCTCTACACAAGTTCATCGGCCACAGGTCAAACTACAGACAATCATTGATATTGTAGAAGCTTAGTAGTGGAATCTTAAATCTATTGATTCTCAAGTGGCCTAATGATTTTAATTCTAGCTGGGGTCGAAAATTGAATTTCATATTTGTGCCCATTTTTCCTGTCATTGATCCAACAATCTGTTATCTGAACACCCTTGACCTCAATTTTTTCGGATATCAGAAATAAGAAAATCAGAAATCCTTTATTGTCCTTAAGCAAAACAATCTTGCAATAGACATAGTCACATATTATGGTAAAATATGGTTACACAGTAACCCAGTCAGACTAGATTAATAAGCTAATATCACAGACAATAACAGGTAAAAATTTTAAAGTTTAAATGTAAAAAGAAGGCTGTAGGCTGGGTGGAGAATATACTAGATAAACTATTAAACATCAAAACTTAACAACTTTTATATCAAAAAACTCTTTAATCACATAAAAAGGATGTTCAACAAGCCAGTTGTATAGCCTATCTTTAAAAACCAACTCAGGCAACGCTCTTGATTCAGAGTGCAATACATTGAATAACTTTAAGCTCATGATTGAATGGTCACTGGCACATTTACTTCGTCTATGGGACGGAATTTCAAGTAGAGAGTTAGATCTAGTGTAATGAGAATGGAAATCTTTTCTAACAGCCAAGTCTCCTAATTTTAATTTTACATCAAGTAAACACACATATATGTACAGGTTAATGACAGTCAATATCCTAGTTTTTATAAACAAAGGTCTACAATGGGCTTTGAGAGCTGATTTGGTTACTATTCTTAGTGCCTTTTTCTGAAGTAACAAAACATCACTTATATTACTACAGTTTCCCCAGAGAATCAGACCATAGCTTAACACTAACTAAAAAAATGCAAAATAGGCTACTCGGATATATTTCTCAGAAACAAAAGTTTTTAACCTATTCACTAAATAAATAACTCTTGACAGTTTTGAACATACTAAATCAATGTGAGCTGACCAAGAAAGGCTGCTGTCAATCAACACACCCATGACTTTTATGGGCCTAACCTCTTTACAAATTACACCTGAGCCCAAATCTTTGTTTTTAGTATGGCAAACTAGGTGTTGATTAAGAAGGAGTTTATTGGCACTAAACCAATCCCTAGCTTGTTTCATTGTATGTTCTACAGATAACTTTAATCTATTGAGATCACGGTGAACAGTTAGGAACGTTGTATCATCTGCAAACATTGTGGTTTGAGAACCCTCAATACTAAGTGGCAAATCATTGACAGAAATCAAAAAGAGTAGGGGACCAAGGACCGAGCCTTTGGGGAACCCCAGTTTTAACTTCAATGCACATGGAATGCACACCCTTTGCATCAACAAACTGTGAACGACCACTTAAATAAGACTTAAAAAATTTGAGAGGACAACCACGGATGCCATAGTGCTCCAATTTACACAGCAAGAGACTATGTTCAACACAATCAAAAGCCTTGCTCAAATCACACGCACTCACCTGAGCAAGACTCCTTCCCTCAAAAGCTTCCAAAATCCCAGAAACAAAGCAATCAATGGCATCCTTAGTTGACCTTTCACTCAGAAAACCAAACTGAAATGCAGAAAAAACTTAAATCTATCAAAGTGTGTACATACCTGGTGCTTTACAATCCGTTCAATTAATTTACCTAAAATATGCACTAATGACACTGTTCGATAATTATTGACATTACTTTTGCAACCCTTTTTGTGAATAGGAACCACTATTTGAAACCACTATTTGTGAATAGGAACTCGTGCTATTTTCAGCGCTTCTGGGAAAACTCCCTTCCTGAAAATCGCATTGATACACAACACCAAAGGAAGCAATATTGCACTCAAAATATACCGGATTATGTAACCCGATAGGCCGTACACATCTTTACTTTTTGAAGCTTTCATGGCCCGCACTTCACTTATAACCTCCTCACTGGACACATATTTCCATTCAAGGTGAGCTTCACAACGACAGGACCTACGAAGCAGTTCCTCTGAAGACACATCAGGCTGATCGATAGTACTTCTGGCTTCCTCTACTGAGCTGATGAAGAAGTTGTTAAACTCCTCAGGGGAAATTTCCACCTCGACATCCGGAGCATTGTTGGTTGTGCTCTTCTTGATGATGTTCCAAGCTGTTCGGCATTTGTTGGAAGCGGACTCGATGGATCTGTCGTTTGCATCTAATTTTGCCTGGTTGACTGCCGATTTGTAGATCTTCTGACTGCAATTGTATGCCTTAAGTGCCACCTCGCTAGGAGAAGCTTGAAGTATTGTACGATAGGCCACAGTCCTTTCTTTCATTTTTCTCAAGTCCGGTGTGTACCAAGATTTTCCTGCACCACTCGAAGTTTTGTTCTTCCTTACGATTTTCTCCGGGCAACTTATTTAAGTACATCCAGAAGAGTGTAGAAAAAAACATTAAATAAGTCCTCAGCAGGTAAATTACCAAAGTTTAACAGAGGCAGCCAGTCAATTTGTAGTAAATTAGATTTAAATTATTGTTAACGCTTCAAAGAGACGTCTCTATTGACAACTGTAGGTATTTCTGGTCGAGTAGAAGATTGGACCAACTCCACTGTAAGGTCCAGCCCATCATGGTCAGACATATCAGGGTAGACCACATTAGAAGAATATAACTCTTCCAAGATGTTGGTAAAGATGTTGTCGAGACAGGCGTTGAACCTAGTTGGCGCTCTGTTAATATAATGACAGTTAAATTGTTCCAGAGTGTAGACAAGCTGTTTCATGCTTTGTAGTTTATTATTTACATCAAATTTGGCATTGAAGTCACCACCAATTATTATATTACTCTTGAAACGATCTAAGAATATTAATAACAGTTCCAAATTCGTGAGAAAGATGTTGCTGTCCCCAGATGTTGAATGGTACACCGATACTATAGCCAAATTTGATAAGCCTTGAATATATACACCAGAACATTCAAAATTCTTTTCAACACAGAGCCAATCCAGTTTTAAATTCTCAAAACTTATCAGGCTTGATACAAAGATACCAGTACCACCCCTAATGAAATTCTTCCGACAAAAAAACGCTGCACTTCTGTTAATCAACTCTATTCGGGATATTTATGTCCAATATCTTGTAAGGCTTTCAGGTAATTTGGATATTGTGTCTTTTGAATGGTATATGAATAGTTTATAAATTGTTTTTCAGATATGGCAGTTAGTTCATGTGATCATCATGAAAAATGATGTAGTGCCCACCTAAAACTGCTCCGAGTTCCTCTTATCAAGGGGAAAATCTGGCTCTTAGTGTAGAAAATATTTCTGTTGCAGGAAGCTTCCTACAAGAATAATCATAGAATTATTTTTTGTTAATAAATTGTCCATAGTATTTGTTGATGAAAGTTTAATTTTAACTCATATCCTCCTAACCTCTGTTGTGTGTCTGTAGGCTAGGAGATGTTTATGAGGAGTTGCTGATCAATGTAGCCGATGTACTTATCAGTGAGCTGACATTCCTGCGTCTGGTCAACACAGTGCATCACAACCACAGCACGGTAATCATAAGAGGGGTGGTTGAAATTGTTAGTTTACTAAGGAACTCTTGATTTTGTGATCAACAATTTTACTGTTTTATCGTTTTACTGTGAAATAATTCATGTAAAAATTCAGTCCAAACAAATTTTTATTTTTATTGATATACAACCTTTCTAGATAGTAAAATAGAGTTACAGGCTGTTAACATCTCAGAAAATGTTAACAACACAAATAATTTTAGACAAATCTCTCCCTCAAGGGAACTTCTTCAGAAGAAAATAGAAAATGGCTATTACAAAACTGGCTCTTTTTGAACTTTATTTGTTCCTCCCTTTTACTTATTACTTAGCCAGTCAAAATTTGTCTTTATATATTTATAAACAATTTATATTATATATATTTACTAGCTGACCCGGCGAACTTCGTATCGCCTAAGTTATAGGTTTCCCCTAAGACAGACCGATGGAAAGAAAGTACCGTTACGTTTAATTTTCAAGATGATCTCGTTCGCATCGCTCAATCACGTCCTGGTTGAAGTTCGTTCGCTACGCTCACTCACCTTTGTGTTGGAGCTCGTTCGCTACGCTCACTCACCTTTAGGTTGGAGCTCGTTCGCTGCGCTCACTTGCCTTCAGGTTAGCTCGTTCGCTACGCTCACTCGCCTCCAGGTTGAAGTTCGTTCGCTAGCAATAATAGTGCTGCACCCTGTTGGTAATCCTTGTAACTTTAATGCTATTGAACATCATAGAACAGAACCAACTTGTTTAATTGAAACAGCTGTTAAGATTCATTAATTCCATTTCTCATAAGGTTAACATGGGAAACTCCGGAGCCACTGGGGCGGAGCCCTTTTAAGAATTTCGAAACGGGAAATAGTTTACGTCCGATTCGCATACCTACAGAATTTACACACCAAATTTCATAACGATCGGTGAAGTCGTTCCGGAGGAGTTTGCAGACAAACACTGTGACACGAGAATTTTATATATTAGATATATGGTTATTTTGTAATTATTTCCAGGAGCAGCCGAATGGTGATGTTGTTCAAGTGGTGGAAGAAGAGGAAGAAGAAGAGGAGGGAGCCGTAGGAGGAGTAGTGGGGGAAAGTGTGTCTTCCTCTCTTCTCAACCTGCATCCGGCAAACCAGGCTCGCAGAAATAAGGTAGGATAAATGTTTACGTGCGAGCCGTAGGCGAATGTGGAAAGTTTCATGAGTGAAGCAATGGCAGTAATTGCAGATCGTAGTCGTAATATCTTTATTTGTGTTGCCAACTTATTTTCAAGCGTACATGGAGTATAATAAAAGTATGCTGTTTTGTGTTGTTTGGTTAAAATACTGTTGTGCGCCGAAGTAAAAAAAATTGTGCGCCAATGTAAGGCTTTCTGTACTATAATCTTTGCAAGGAAGCCCACTTTGTCGGGTGACTGTAGGAAAACCTATTTATTGCAAAGGACAATGCTGATTTCCGTGACCGCAGGAGCCGATGATGTCCATACAACCGTGGGAGATGTTCTGGATTTCACTGTGATCAGAGCTTCTGCTTCTTTAATAAGGATTCTTATTACTGTAGTTTAAGAATTTTAAAATTCTTTCTGTCGGCAATTTGGATTGTTGGAGTTCAGAAAGTTTAAGTTCAACTGTCAGCAAATAAAAATAAAATTACTATCTAAATGTTTTTTAAAATTTCCAAAATGTTTTAAAACTGCCAAAGTCACCACAATTTACAAATCTGGCCAAAAAAACATTGCATCAAACTTCAGACCAATCTCGTTGCTTGGTGCAATATCTAAAATTCTTGAAAAATGTGTTAAGAAACAATTAGCTTTTTACCTTGAAAACGAAAACATTATCAGTGATTCACAATTTGGTTTCAGAGCATGTAAGAGCACAAGTCATGCATTGTTCGACATTAATAAATTTATATCAAATAAATTAAATTCAAAACAACGTGTAATGGTGACCTTTTTAGATTTAGCAAAAGCCTTTGACTCTATTGACAGACATAAACTTATCAACAAATTGGAATTTTGTGGACTAGACAAGCTCTCCCTTGACTGGTTTAGAAGTTATTTAGAAGACCGAGTGCAAGTTGTTACAATCGATGGTGTCACAAGTAATAAAAGAAACATTGAATTCGGTGTGGTCCAGGGAATCAATCTTGGGCCTTTGCTCTTCCTGGTTTATATAAATAATATATCAAAACTAGAAACAAGAAGCAAATTATTCTTGTTTGCAGATGATACGGCAGTGGTGACTACAGGCTGCACGTGGGATGAGGTGTATGAGCGGGCATCGTCCGACTTACTTAAGTTGAAAAATTGGTTGGATCATAATTCTTTAACTTTAAACGTATTAAAAACTAAATGTCTTCCAATTTTTTTAAAGAAGGAAAGTGATCCGAGCCCGCGTCATTTACGTTTGCACTCCTGTGGTGATCCGTCGTCACGTGACTGTGATTGTAACGTCATCGAACGTGTGTCACAATACAAATATTTGGGCATAATTATGGACGAAAAATTAAGCTGGGTTCCTCACGTGTGGTATGTCAAGCAGAGGCTTAGAAAATTAGTATATGCATTCGATCAGCTGGGCCAGGTGCTGACGGTGGATCACTGCAGGATGGTGTATTACGCCTACGTGCAGTCGGTGTTACAATACGGTGTCCTGGCATGGGGTGGCGTCTCGTCAGCTGTGTTAGAGCCCTTATTCATCTCACAAAAATCATTGATAAAAAAAATTCTTAAAAAACCTTTCCGTTACTCAACAGACCAGCTTTTCCTTGACTTTCCAGTACTAAACGTCAGACAGCTTTTCATAAGAACATTATTATTATTCATTAAATCCAATAAAGAACAAATATTTTCTGAGATTCACCATAGGTACCCTACAAGAAATCGTTTAAACTTTGGCTTCAGTTGCCCAAAATCTATCCTTACGACCACTAACAAAAATTCATTTTATATTGCTCACGTCCTGTACCGTAATCTTCCAACAAACATTATTGAGGCTGAGAGTTGCAGTGTTGCTGTTTATAAGCGGATGATCGGCGAGTGGCTCGCGCACATCGGGCGGGCAGCTGCAGAGGCTTTGATCCAGTCGGTCTATATTCCAAACGTCTGATATTGTCATGATTCAGTCATCGATCACATTTTTTATATTTATATATTTTACTTGTAAAACATTGTAATCTATATTGTTTCTGTGTGGGATTCAGCCCATTGTGTTGGAATAAATACAATGGGCTGAATCTTGTACAGGGTAGTGCGACGTTGTGTTTAATGTTAAAAAGTAATTCACCTCATTTTAGAATTAAAATTTTGTTAGCATTTAAAATACAGTTATTTAGTTTAGAGCTTAGATTTATTTAGTTTATGTGTTTAAAATAAAAAAGTGCAGTGACTCGAACAATTTTACAATACCCATAGACTGATGATACTGTTAACTCTTCCCCCGATCACGGATCAATAGTCTATTCGGGGGAATAATTCCTTTTACTTACTACAATGTATTGTAATATTGTTTTTATTTTATGGAATAAATAATTTTGACTTGACTTGACTTGAAAGCTTGAAATGATGGGCCTGGATTAATATCAAAACCTTAAAATGTTGGGATACTCAAGGACTTTGGGTTCTTCTGTTTGAGACATTATTTTTATTTTTATAAAAATTAAAGTCTTTGCAAATGAATAGAAAGTATAGGGAAAGCTTTTAACATCAGTTGTCTGTTGACATTGTTCAATGCATCTGTAAATGCTACTGGTTGAGCAAAGATTGACATAGTCTAGTTTGTTGGGCAGAGTGAGCCAGTGTCTGAGGCAGATCTAGCTGAGGCCGACCAATCACGTCACTCGACTGGCAGTGGTGGCGAGGAGGAGAGGGGGGACACAGCGGAGGGTATTGACCAACTGGTGAGTAGGGTGGGCAAGTACTCTAGGATCCAGTAATTTCTAGATTTCTTACAAATACGGGAGATAATTAATTGATTCAATTAATTGATGAACTACTGATACTTTTAGATGAACAAATGGATGCTCCACTGTTGTATTTTGTGCTTGTTGTTGTAAAATTTATAGAGAACTAGTTTTATTCAAAATTAAGGAAGTTAAAAAATTGCATTTTAGGAATTCATTTTTACTGGTTGGAATGAAAATAGTTTACTAAATTTTTTATACTTTATCGATTAAACTATGGATATTTAACCAACAGAGGACTACAATTATCTGCTGTGACAATACAATAATTCATTTGACACATCTGTAATTAAAGTGACAGTTGAAAGGTTGTTGAATTTGGTTAGGCAAACCAGATTAAATGATTGTAGAATGTTTTTTTCACTTACAAAGGTCTACTTCCAATAGAGATAAACACCGCTAAGTAATATGGAACTCTGAGCTTTTTATTAAGATCTCCTCAAATTATTTGTCATAGTATCAATGTTAAAAATGTATTTATTTTGTAAATCGATTTGATCTTTTCTATTTGTTGTATTGTGCAATGTTAATGTTTCATTTCAGGAAGAAGCAAGTGGTAGAGATGTCAACATGGCTACTTGTAACGGGAACCTTGCCACCGAATCTAAGACTGAGGTAAGTTTACTATCCTGGATATTTTTTTTTTCATACCCAACATGGTTAGTACAATGAAAATAAAAAGACTTTTAATATATTTGAAACCTCAATCTTTTCTTAAATAATAATATTTCCATTCCTGATTTTTTTGATTGGAAAAGAGTTGTAAATATTCTCTTCCAAAGATACCAACAATGGTATCAGATAACAAAATATTTATATCCTCATTATAGTATCCTTCTGCTTCTGATAATTTCAATGTTGATATGATAATACATCAAACGCAGTAGTATCATTCATTACACAGCTTCATTCTATTATCCGTGCCAAGTCGTAGAAACTTGCAAAATAATACTTGTCATACTTTTTTATGAAATGTCGACCATGCAAATTTAGGAATTTTAAGCCAAGTATGAATGGAGATGAGTGTAGGATGAGTGGCGCGATCTTGTTGTCTTGTTATCTAGTAAGGCCGACATTTTCCTTAGACACTGCTGTTAATTAATAGCATCGATCTCTATTATTACTACAGCTGGATCGCGCACTGTACTGCTCAGAGAAACACACGTATCGGTCCGCCGCTCCCCCCACCACGCAAGGGTGTTACTGTCTCTCTCTTACTCATTACGTCTTATGGCGTTTCCACGTTTGCGCTCACAAAATACGCTATATCTCTGTTCATAGTGGCTCGATTGTCAATTTGTTTACACAGTTGTAATCTGCATGAAATTGATTGTCTAAATGGTGTGGTGGTGTGGATTACAGTAGCGCATTGCTGGTTTGTTAGTCCTACAGTGCATTTCCCACTACAGCTGTCTTCTCTATTGACAGGCTTGCTGGGCTGTGGAGCAGGACCGAGAGTTAGGCTTGGACCAAGTCCCGACACGACTACACAACTGCGAGACTGAACCTGACGCCTCCCATACCGGACCTCCCGGTGTGTGCTTTATTACATAAGATATTTCATGAGAATAGTAAAATATAAATACATTTTTACGTTTAATAGTTTCAATTGCAGTCTCTGGTGACTTGCGATCCACAATAGACTCTCAAAGTCCCAGACTGTGTGAGGAATATAAACTTTAAGATACATCAAATGCCAATAAAACACCACTTAACAACTTTGAGCCATGAAATTCCTTATATTTCCTAAAATTATATCCTTATCAGTTACATGGTACACAGGTAGAAGACATTTTCACAGATGTTTGAGTTTAGGGGGAGTTGCGGATTGCCGACCGTTTTACTTTAAAGTCTTGTAATACTGTAGTTTACTTTCTAAAATAAACATTATTTTGATTTGATTTTGCTAGGTTTCAACTAAATTTCTGGTGTGTTCATTGCTTGTTTTTGCATAAATGTGGCCAAGTGTAAGAGGTTGCGAAATTGAAAAGCTAGTGAGAGGAGGAAAATCTCCATCCTTCATGCTGTTGGCTGTTTTTGACTGCTTAACCAAATTAAGACCAACTTCAGGCACTTCAATTCAGTATTGGTTGTCAGGTAGTATGTGGATTTTAATTGTACAGAATTTTTAGTTCAACATGTTTTACATCTTATTTAAATGTTTCAGATCCCAATACATCGATATGATGGTTTAGAGTTCTGCCTCTTCGACTCTGTTCCTTACTTTAAACCTTCAACAAGTAGACTCTGCTGCTGCTAGACTGTCTTATTTTGTTTAATCAAATCATTTTGTTTATTTAGTATAATGTGCCTTTTTACTGTTAAATTATAAATTACTTTATTTAACAACCTTAGTTTTGTTACCTTCATTTCTGAAGTCACCGATAAATTTATGTGAATATATCTACTGTAGAACCTCCATTAACTGAAATGCCGTTTAACCAAAACAGCCTAAGAGAATAAAAACAGAAATGTTCAAGTTAGCCAGTTTTTAAATCAAAATTGTTGTTGAATTGAGCCACTGATAGGTTGTGCTGATAAAATGACTGATTTTTTATTGAATATGCAGACTTTTTAAAACAAGTCAAACTGATATAATGACATATTGTAAGCTATAGCATCTCTCGCGTCACATCAACTATCTCAGTGACAATCGAGCACTGTGTGTGATTAGCTCATTCAACTTAGGTTCTTTATTAATAAAAAAAATTGGCAACAGCTGTTCCAAATAGTTGGGATGTCAGTATAAAAACAGTCTATAAATAGCTGATACACAATGAAAACTATAATACAACCGCCCACACACAATTTTTATTTCAGGATTAGTTTTGCAACAGTGTCATTTGGAGGCTTCTGATTGACTATAATGAAGGATAACTAATTTAAAAATTAGTTCTGTTCTTAAAAAAAAATTATAAATGCCTAAAATTATTTTTTTTAATTAAAAAAAAAACTGTCATAACCTAACCAAACTAACCAGACTTGCTGATAATAAAAAATCAAATGAATGTTTAATCAAAAAAATTGTTATTTTCATAAAATAAAACTATAAATGGCTCAAATTCTATTTTATAATGTTTTAATTATAAAATTAAACTGCCTCAACCTAACCAAACCAACCAAACTTGCTGATGATGAAAAAAAATCCTACACAAAAAGTAAGTGTCACTGGTGGGATTCGAACCCGGCTCCTTCTTTTTATCAGCCCGGCACTCTATCCACTATATCACGGAGGCAGATGGCGTCATACCATATTGTTGCGGTAATGGTGTTCCCTCAGCCAATCAGAAGCCTCCAAATGACACTGTTGGCAAAACTAATCCTGAAATAAAAATGCAGCACCCCCCACACTGATTTACAACATCTGCCTGTTAGGCGGGAACAGACACCTGCTGACCGTGTCACTAATGAAGCGATGGTGAGATATTGCTGCAAGAAAACGAGTTTAAAAATTAATAGTTAATCTACAAGCCCTTTTTTATTTTGGTTTAGAGGTTTTTTTAAAGGAAGATTAGTAATTTGTTAGTACTTTTAAAAGGTACAGATATAAATTTAGTAGTTTTTGCCACCTGAATTGATGAGATTAATAGAATAAGTTTACAGTTACAACTAGTAGACTGACATGATCTGTAAATGTTCATTATAAATTTGGCAAATGAATTATGAATTTATGAAATAAACAATAAGATATTAGGGAAATTAAAAATAACCAAAATAAGTAGATTGTGATAAGTATAATCTTTTTGACAGACAGATAAAAATAAATGAACAACAATTGCAAAGTCTTCCATGTTGAGAATGGAGTTTCGTTATTATAAAGTCCAACATTTTGTACCATCTATTACGTATTACGATGACAGTTTTCAACATTTACACAGTATCGACCACAAACAGTACCGATAGTTCAAACTATAACAGTATTACAAAATACCATTTAGGTTAACAATTTAAAAACAATCCAAAAATAGGCAGTAAAATTTATCAGGATTTTACAAAATTCTAGGTCACAAATCGGACAGGAATCACAATGAAATATTAAAACGAATTTGTACATTGAATCACACTACATTTACAATTGGGCCCAGTCAAACTACCACTCATATTTATTTACACTGTGCGTATTTACATGTATTTACAATCATGACTGGCCCGAGTCTTCTGTCCTCGTATCTACATTGTCCGTTGTGTCGTCTGCATCGCCAGACCCTTTGTGTCTTGGACCCTTCATGTTGAGGTTGACGGGAGTGTTGCGGATGTTGACGACACATTTGAAGGGGCCACGAGGGGTTGGGTCCTCCTCACCCTCAGAAGAAGTGTCCCCGGAACTCATCATATGTTGAGGCATCATCTCGTTGGGATCCCACTGTCCCAGCTTAGATGGGTCCTTCTCATACAACTTTTGAGCCAGGAGCTGAAAAAAATAATCATTTATAAATTTTTTTAACCAGTTTTTGATTCTATAGACAAATTGTCCAGTACAGTACACTCCCAATTAACCGAGGTTGTTGGGACCGAGACTACCTTGGTTACCGAGAATCTCAGATAACACGGAGGGTCTTAGATTTTGAGGAGTTTGAGGATTCCGTTAGGAGTTACGGTACCACATTAGGAAGTCAAAGACATGTAAAGTATATGGTTTAGTAAAGCATAGTGAATACAAAATGACTAATAATTATTATTTTAATAAAAAATGTATTTAAATAAGGAAGTGTTATTAAGGAATACAAATAACATGCTTTTCTTAAATTGTTTTGGAAAACTTCAAATACAGTATCATTATAAAATGATACCAAGCCAACACTCTACAGGGTTAAATAAAAACACAATAAGGTGGACCCCTAAGTTAAAGTATAGAATATTATTTTTTAATTTGACTTGAACTATACTTTACACAATAATGTCAATATTAAAACATTGTAGGCTAATGACAAACACTGACAAAAGGCGATACGAGCCGGCAAAGCTGCAATGCCCGAGCAGAAATGCTACTGCTTATGTTGACGTTCTGCAGACGACATGTCTTATACGTTAAAATAATGCCTATAACGATTATTTAAAGTATAATTTTATGAAAACACAAATTACATGCTATTTTTGCTTTACTTTCAACAGAAACATTATTGTTTTTATTGTTTTCCTACCGGAAATAAAAAATATATATATTTAGGCCTGAACCGACCTCGGATGACCGGGGCTCGGATAATAGAGAGTGGTACTGTACCAGGGATTTGAGCAAACAAATCAATAAACTTGTAAACATTCTAAATTATCCCCCCACAAGTTAAGGTAGCCAACTCATAATTTAATTCAATATACATCATCAATACAAAATACGAAAATACTATATCACAAATAAATCTTATACTAAATAAAATTTATTTCAATCTCTACACTGTCAAAGAGTTTGGTTAAATAAAACCTATATGCTGCTCACTGATTCCATTAAGTGACCACAATTTATAAGCCTACTATGAGAATAAATAATAATTGAAGTAGCTGCAAACCATGGACATGATTTTAACGTAGTGATCCAATTTTGTTGCAACTTGCAATACATAAAACCAGTTAAAGAAGGTCTACTACACCCTGAAATTGGCTAAATTTACCTTTTTTCCTTGGCATAATTAAAGAAAAAATTGACAATATGAAGTTGGTGATTCATCCCTTGTCAGAAAATAATCAGATAGGTAGCCTAGTGTTTAAGGTTTGTATTGTTTAGTGATTTATTAAACATCGTTCAACATTATTTTTATTGATTGTTTAAGTTTTTATCAATCATAAATGATTCGAAAAATTGTTGAAGATATTCAAGGAAATTTTTGTGACTGTTAGATAGGACCGACAAATCTTACCTGCAAACTCTCCAAGGAGTTGTCACAGTCGGTGGTGTCAATGTCGTTCATATTGACCCCAGACCGTTCCATTTCAGCGTACGTTCCAAACGGAAGTTTACCAAGACACTCGAGTTTCATGATATGCATCTTGGAACGTAAGTGCTTGGCAAGGTGTCCGTGGATGCGGAACGCAATCTTGCAATCATCACACTTGAATGGACGAGGGTTCGCAGTCGTGGCTGTTCCAAACGTCGAGTTCATGCTGACCTAAAATGTTGATAATATGATTATCTGGTTAAAATTGTAGTGATTATAACTTTAAAATTATTTAATTAGCTTGGACAAAGAATGATTTACGTAAATTGTACCTCCATGCTTTCAAGAATTGGAGAAGAAAAAACAAAGTATTGTTTGTTTCATCAAGCGCTAAATGACAGAATTGGTTGTGAACATTGGAATGAATTGAACAGATAAATCTAGATTAAACTTCAAATTTTGATACATTGCCTTACTATACTTTACTATACTTTGAAAAAATAATGTTTAACATACAGAAAATATTCATCATTGATTGATTGATTGATAAATACACTCTAAAAAAACAAATCTATTAATAGTGATAAAAGAGCTGAACCAGATTTGTCTGTCCGGAATTGTTTTTATTCACCAATGGCCTTAACAAATAAACTTCAAATATATTTAATTTTTTTACTGTAAACCGCTTGTTACCATGGACTAGTCTGTCTGGTGATGTAGGTCACATAGGTAAACTAGTGAAATGATAACAGCAGTGATAAGAAGTTGATGAAACCAACAAAGTCTGCCTTGTCAGCCCTAACCACTACTGAGCCGACATTCGGTAAATCCACATCAACTGACCTTGTTGAGGTGAGAGAGGCTTCGCTGATGTTTCTGCAGATGACCTTTAGTGCGGAAGCTGACCGCGCAGGCTTCACAACGGAACGGCCGCTCAAAGTAGTGGATGTTGACGTGAAGCCTCAGCTGGCTCGGCTTGGAGAACACCTTGTTACAAATATTACACATGCTGCGGCCGTCCTCCAGAATGCTAGAGCAAGAGTTTCTATTGAGTAAAATGTGTAATTAAAAGTATAACTGACATGACAGCTATGGGTGCATATCACTTGAGCAATCGCCTTTATACTGTAAAGTTGTGGTTCTCAGACTTTCTATTGCAACAATAACTGCAAGTTTTTAAATTAAGACGTGGACGTTATAACTCTGGAGCCCCATTCCCAGGACTTAACTGTCATTTTTAGCTATAAATTTACACAGCCTAAATATACATTTCACATACATTACATAAACAAAAGAAGAAAAACAGGAATGTTTTAACAGTTAATGTTTATTAAAGGAATTTTAAAGTAAAAATTGAGATCAAATCAAATTCAAATATATTTATTTGTGATAATACAACATCTTGGCCTCGCCAAGTTTACTAAACTTGTCGGCGAGGTCCAATTTGTAACATTCTGAAAGATGAATCATTG